TCCTGCAAATAATTGACATGCTCTTGTAAGGACAATCAGTTCGGCTGCTTGGGCTGACTGATATGGGATTGGCTTTGCCTCGAGTATTTTGTCAGGAAGTTGCACAATGCCGTATCCTGCATGGTAAGTATTATCATTTGGCCTAGAGCATGAGCCATCTACAAACACATCTGGGGCCCCATCAAGAACCACAGCTGACATGTCGGACCTAGGGGAAGTGTCTTGCTGTATGTGGGTTATACAATTGTGTTCTGGTGCAACTTCATCCTGTTCCCCCTTTAGCCCCAATAGGGCATTCAAAATTGGAGTAGGACCTGAATTTGCTGAAGAATATTTAATAGTCAAATTGGGATCAGATAGAAGAATCACTTCATATCCGCTCAACCTTTGTGCTGACATGTGTTGAGTGTGTATGTTTTTCAGTAGTAAGGACACTTGATGTGTGGTGTGTAGGGTAGTTTCATGTCCCAATGTGAAAGAAAGTCCAGAAGCCTTGGGACCAAGTTTCCTCTTCTGGCTTAAGACCTGTTATGAATGTCTGAATCATCAATGGACTTAACTCTCCAGTCAGAGCCAGTCCTGCTTCTTGTGTCCAGACATCCTTGAACCTTTTCCAAAACTCTAATACAATTTCTCCTACCTTCTGTTTACATGCTGTAGCAATAGGGAGGGAAGCCTTATTCTTGAAAACCCTTTTTAATTCTGTGTCAAGCTCCTCCCACATAGTTTCTCTCCCTTCTGTGGTATTAAGTTTATAGGCAGTAGCCTGTGTATTACTTGGTTCTATGTGACTAATGCTTTTTACATTTATCCAATCCCAAGCTGGATTATTTCCCAGAATACCATCAATGATCAATCTCATATCTTCCTGCGTGTAATTTCTTCCCAAACATGCCTTTTTTAAATAAGCAAGTGTACCTCCAGGAGATACTGTAGGCTTGGGACAATGTTTAACAATCTTATTAATATCTTCTAATTCTATGGGTTTTTTTAGAATTAGTTCTCCTGCTGTGAGAAAAGGTAGTGTCAATATAGCCAACTCCTTTCCTCCTACGGCCCCCTCATCTTCTCTTTTTCCCTCTTGTTTCTTATCCATGGATCTAAGCTGCATTCTAAATTCCTCCACATCTCTGCCCTTTCTATGACTGGTGTCACTTCTTCTCCATTGACCATCCTTTTTTCTGTAATTTTATTATATTTACCTGTCCCTGTTCTTCGTATTTCAACTCTCCTTCGTTGTCATTATTTTCCGTAAGGATGCCTTGAACTTGGCTACCCTCTTTGTCTGGTGATTTTATACTAATAATCTGTTTGGGTCTAGTGGAGGGGCCTGGCTGTATTGGTTGTAGATCCGGGATGGGAAGTGGCGCAGGGACAGGGGCAGGGGCTGGAGGGGCAGGAGCAGGGGCTGGAGGGGCATTAGGCTGGGGAGTAGTCATCCCCAAAAACTGATCAAAAAATCATCATCAGCAGCATTTTTAAAACCACTTAATGAAGGATATATATTATATGGAGGGGGTGGGATTGGTGTCTGAACTGTTTTCAGTCCAATCTTGGGTCTGCATGTCTTTTCAGATTTATGCTTTTCCTGGCATATTTTTAATGTATCCAATTTCAACTTCCTCTTTTGTTTTAAAGAGAAAATCAAATTGAACTTTCCCTTGCTATTATCAACCCAATACGGTGACCATTTCAACCAGTTTTCTCCCCCTTTCTTCATATAAACTTGGTCCCATTGTGGGTCCCCCTCATACCAAGGAAAGGCTTGTTTGTCCCCCAAACATAATCCCTTAACCATGTCTGTATGAAAAGGATCATTTGCCCCCTTTCTTGGGAATGGGTCTGTACTCCCCATAGCTTCTGTCCAGCCTGCCATACAATCCACCCAGGGATTTATTAAATAATAGTCCGTTTCACAAACTCTAGCAACATAATCCTTACAATTTTCTCCCTTTTCTGGGGGACCTGATGGGTAACTACCTCCTTGACCCATATTTAGACAGTGGATAAGACAATTTTACCTTCAAATCTTATTTTGTTCCACACAACAAATTATCTTATACTTATACGCAACAGAAAGAAAAAGCAAAAGACAGATAAACCAGAATCTGCTCCACAGACTTATTAACCTTTTGATAACTTCCCAAAAGTTATCTCTTCACTGTTTTACCAAAAAAAAAACAGTGTGTTTTACCAGAGAACAATCTGTGTTTACCAAAAACACACTCCTTTTTTATAGTGCACTATTTTGTAACTCTACCGAAGAGTTAAGTCTGCTTACCAAAAGCAGCTACAGGTTATCACGGGTCTATATAGACAATATACAGAATGATTCAAGACCTTCCCTCAACACAGGGCAAGAAAGAGCTTTTAGTCATAAAAAGACAAAAGGTTTACTTACCAAGTGAGGTGGGTGGTCACCCCGGACGAGCCCCCAGCTGAAAGGAATGATTTTCTTTTCCCCTCAGAGACCCCCGGTCTGTGGAGAGATTCCTGGTTTATCAGCAGAATTCTGGGAACACCCCTTGAACACGGAAATAACGGCAGCTTATGTTCAGAGATGTTCAAAGTTTATTAGGCATTAAAAAGATTATATAGACTACAGATAAAATAAGGGAGGGGGGAGCGAGTTTCAAAACTGTAACTTGTAAATTTCCATCATGAGCTAACTACATAAAACATAACATATACATTTCTTGGTACAAATTGTTTTGGCTAACTTTCTGAGATACAGCCAGACAAAGACATTGTCAGGGTCATGTTAGCTTCTGTTGATACATCCTTGAACAACTAAAACAGTTTCATTAAACTTCTAATATATCTGCTGCAAAAGCTAACTTAATACTTAAAATGGCGTACATAATACAAAATGGAGGTTATCTAGATCCTTTCAGGTACTAGCTACAAGCTGGTACATATCCCTCACAGGAAATAAGGGAGAGGGGAAAATGAGCTGAAAACTTTGCTTTTACAAACACAGGCTGCTAGAAGTGTTACAGTTTAAAGTGGAACTCTGCCATATCTAGGTGCTACCACAAAGTGATTCTAGTGTTGTGGTGTGCACAAGGCACATAGAGAACAATTGATTTTGTTGTGCCCTTGGCTGACTCTGCACCATGGCGTGAACAAGCCCTTACAATTTATCTTCTTAAAAACCCATTCATTTATCTGGTCCCAAAATTATCCCAAAAGAAAGACAGTGATAGATGCACTGGAAAATTTAGATGGACTTTACTAACAAATTAAAACTGAACTCCAGCTAACATATTTTAAGCAGTTAAGGCAATAGTTTTTTGCTGATAATAGTTTTACAAAAATGAATAAAAGATGACAGCACCTCTGTCATTGTTAACATGATTCTAAAGGCGTAATTGTTTTTGTAAAAAAATAACAAACATGTCTATACTTAACTGCTATATGTAATGGTTTTACACAGAGCAGCCTGGATCCTCCTCTTCTCATGCTCCTGGCCCCTCCCTCCTATTGAGTGTGCTGGCAGCAAGAAACTTGCTATGGGGGGCATACAAGCATGCACACTCCCCAGCCACTGCTCTGTGTTTCCATTCATACATGGAGCCATGGCTCGGCCCCGCACCCTCTCTTCTCATTGGCTCACTGACTGTGATTGACAGCAGCAGCAGCCAATGGCTCCTGGTCCCGCTGCTGTCTCAGTCAATGAGAAGAGGGAGTCCCAGGATAGCCGAGACTCCAGTGCACAATGCTGGATCGAGAAGGGGCTTAGGTAAGTATTATGGGGCCTGGGAGAGCTGCTGCACAGAGAAGGTTTATTACCTTCATGCATAGAATGCATGAAGGTGGAAAACCTTGAGCCTTTACAATCACTTTAAATAGATTGTCTCAAAGTGTAAACTATAATTTTTTTTTGTTTTTGGGTTAATATACGTATTAATATATTACTAATAGAATATTAAAGCAGTATTAAACCCAAAATCAAAAAATTTAATATATTGAAGCTTACCAATCATTAGATGTGTTGGCTGCATTAGTTTTCTTTTTAGGCTTATCTCCCTTGGTTTTCACCTGGTGATCTGGCCAGTTACACGCCTCCTGCATTAGAGCGCCTCCACTCTGGATGAAGGACCACAGGAGCATATCTGGACAGCAGCATTGTCAGTCTGGAGAGAGGGTAGTGTTAGATGGACTAGCAGATTTAGATACCCTAACAAACTGAAAACAAACTCCAGCTCACACTGCAGTTACACAAGCAGTTACAGCAACATTGTTTTCTTTTGGGATAAATAAATAAGAGATGCTCATTGTAAACACCCCTGTCAGTGGTAAATGGTTTGTTTCAACCCTGTAACTGCTAAATTTGCAGAAAAGCTTGTTCTGTTGAAAAATAACATACTTATTGGCTAGATCACCAGATGTAAATAAAGAAAAGAAAGCCTAAAATAGAAAACTAATGCTACCATCAAATCTATGAATTGCTGCAATGTGATAAATGTTTGTTTTTTGTTTAATACTGCTCATGGCTTGGTTTACACTAGTGAGTGTGGAGGCTGCCTTTCCAGAAGTGCTGGCTGTGATTTCTGGAAAGGTGCAGGGACCTTTTCCCTGTTTTTTCAGAGGCATGGCAGCCCATTCAAATGAATGCTGCGGTCCCCAAAATGGCACAGGTGTGAACCAAGCCTTAAAGTTAATTTCAACCTTAATCAGTAATGAGTTCCATCGTCAGAATCTGGGCAGTTATTGACCTATGTACTATGTTTTAACCACTAGCCTACAGGGCACGTATACCCCATTCCTGCCCAGGCCAATTTTCAGCTTTCAGCGCTGTCACACTTTAAATGACAATTGCGCGGTCATGCAACACTGTACCCATATGACATTTTTATAATTTTTTTGAGACAGATAGAGCTTTCTTTTGGTGGTATTTAATCACCTCTGGGTTTTTTATTTTTTGCTAAACAAACCAAAAACAACTGAAAATTGTTAGTTTCTGTTATAACATTTTATAAATAAGTGATTTTTCTCCTTCACTGATGTGTGCTAATGAGGCTGCAGTGATGGGCATTGAAAGGCTGCACTAATAGGCGGCACTGATGGGCACTCATGCGGAGGCACTGGTAGGTGACACTGATGGGCATTGACAGGCATCACTGATGGGCACTGAACGGCAGCACTCATATATGGCACTGATAGGCGGCACTGATAGGCGGCACTGACTGGCACTGATAGGCGATACTGACTGGCATTGTAAGGCTGCACTGACTGGCACTGTTAGGCGGCACTAATAGACAGCACTGATGAGCACTGATAGGCGGCATATACTGGCACTGTTAGGTGGCACCGACTGGCACTGATTGCCAGCACTGATAGGCGGCACTGACTGGCACTGATAGGTGGCACTGACTGGCACGGATAGGTGGCACTGAAAGGCAGCTCAGATGGGCACTGATATGTGGCATTGATGTGGCACTGATGGGCACTGACAGCTGGCATTGATGGACACTGACAGGTGGCACTGATGGGGCTACACTGATCATCAGTGCCCTGATGATCAGTGTATATGTCCCCTCTGAGTAATGGCGATTACTGGCTCTCCTCTCCTCACGAGCTGTCAGCGGGACAGTTCCTGAGGAGAGGAATGCCGATAACCGGAATTTCCTTATTTGCATGCGATCAGCTGTGATTGGACACAGCTGATCACATGACAGAGCTGACATCTTCGGCTCTTTCCATTGATCAGTGATCCGCTGTGTCCCAGGGACACAGTGCACCACCGATCGCCACGCTGCGGTTAGAGTGGGAAGATGTCATATGACATCCTCCTAGAATGAGAGAACCACCTTGCACCCATCATTACCTTATTCACCCCACTTTCACACATTTTTCTAATCGAATGCAATTGTAAAAATGTGTGAATTATAGGTAAAAGTTGTCGGAATCTTGGATTTAAACATTTTATGAAGCCCATAAAGCTCAGCGGATGTGACTTTCACCAAACGCTGCATGGTAGTGAATTGATCACTGTCATTTAATTGATAGCAAATGGTAGCAGAAATAGTAGAGGTAATAGTTGCTTTTTGCCTCCAGTATCTGTGTGAACATAGCTGATAGCCAACCTCAGTCAGTAATACTTGCAGTTCTTTGCTTAGTTGAAATCTTTTGCACTTTAAATGCAATCTCTTTTTCAATCCATTGTTACAGTTTATCAGAACTTTGCGGTACTTCCATTACTGCGTTTCAATGTGGTCTACATGAGCTTTGGGGACATTAACAAGAGGTTTTACTGCTAATTAGATTCTCGAGGCCTGTTTACCACTGATGAGCTGCAAAATCACTTGTACTTCATCAGTGGTAAACATGCATATGTAGTCTAACAAGGATCCCGAGTACTGTCTGTGTCTTAGACCATTAGGGAAGTCATACATGGCCCAGCTTTCTCAAACAAGCATATGTGAGTGAACAATTGGTGTGAAGGGGTTGACAGGTAAATGATAATATGCAAAGGCAAATGAACTATACAGCACTGCTGGCAAATGTTTGCAATGTGTTGGAAAATGTGTGTTTAAACCATCCTAACCCCAGCATGTAACACTTCCTTTATTACCAGGCTATGTTTCAGTTTTCCATGATGTGATAGTTTGACTGACAATTATTCTGTCATGCAACACTGTACCCCAATGAATTTTATAAAATTTTGAGAGTTTTCTGGTAGCATTTAAAAGCCACTTGTTAAATCTTTTTTAACTGTAGGTTTACCTCGGTTTACAAACGCCTTGGTTAATGTAATTTTCGGTTTATGAATGAAAATCAATTGAAAATAATGCCTCGGTTTACAAATTTTTTATGAATTTTTTTCACAATACGAAGTATATGTCAGTGCTAATTTTTAATCGCAATTGCCGACTTTTTTTTTCTTCACTATAGCTCACAGAATTAGGTGTCACTTTCCCCAGAGCTAAAGGATACTTTGTTTCTTTTATCTCAGGAAACAAACTATAAGAAAATATTGTTTCTTTTAATTCTGGGAAATAAACTAAATGGAAACTTTATTTCTTTTAGCTGTGGGGAAAGTGACAGCTGATTCTCTGAGCTATAGTGAAGAAAAAAAAAAGCCGTAATTACATTTAAAAACCGGCACTGACCTATAGTGACAGCGACTTTTTAAAAACTTTTTTCTGACTTCCGAAATGGATTAATTGCTTTTCAATGTATTCGTATGGGAAACCGCATTTCAGTTTACAAATGTTTTTTTTCTACGTCCCGGAGAACGCATTAAATTTGTAAACCAAGGTACACCTGTATATGGCTCCATGCACACTGGGCATTTTAATTACGCTGGTAGTGTTAGCTGTGTAAAGTCACAATAAAAACGTGAGGTTTTCAGATTTCTGTAGCGTTTTTGCATTAGCGTTTAGTTGCTTTTTTCTGTGTTTTTCCGCATTTGTGGTTTTTTGCATGTTTTTTTTTATCAAAATGCTAGTTTGCCACGGTTTTACCACATTTTACTGCATTTTGCCACGTTTCTCATCATTAGAGCATTTTTATATAGCTAAACAACTCCTCTAGAAACCCACTAGCTTTGGGGGTTTTTTTCAGCCAAAAAACACCCCTGCCAAAAAACGCTGATTACAGCCTATGTATGCATGGACACATAGGATAACATAGAATAACATAAAATTAGTGCAGCGCTAAAAGTAGTGATATTAAGAAAGATATAAGTCCACTGAAAAGTCTTGGTATTGGACGTGTCCAGTGACAAATGAGGATTCAAAATTGGTGATCCGTGTGGAAACGGCTGAAAAACGCACTCACCAGAAGCAAGACACATAAACGCAGTGTGCATCTAGAGCTCATGGATCCTCAATCCAGAAGGGGATAAAGCTGGTCCAGTTACAGGAATGGTGGATCCCTCCTCTGTGGATGCAGCAACAGATCCTCCTCTCCCCAATTAGGTGTAGGATTCCAAGATCAGGATTCTGCAAGCAAAAGCTCCTCAGGGGAGTTTTAGGGAAGGACACCCATAGTGTAGTAGGTTATAAAAAGCAGCTTTATTAAAAATTATAGTATCCAATTCAAAGTAGGCAGGTATCATAAAGATGTGTCAGCAAGACAAACTAACCCTGACACTCTGAATAATGGCCGCCGGGCCTCCACGTGGCTCCGGCGGCGTAGCGTCTCGACGTCCAGGCTCCTCCTTACGCGTTACGTGTTACGTGCGCACGCACATCTTCAGAGGTATGGTTCCATCTTTATGATACCTGCCTACTTTGAATTGGATACTATAATTTTTAATAAAGCTGCTTTTTATAACCTACTACACTATGGGTGTCCTTCCCTAAAACTCCCCTGAGGAGCTTTTGCTTGCAGAATCCTGATCTTGGAATCCTACACCTAATTGGGGAGAGGAGGATCTGTTGCTGCATCCACAGAGGAGGGATCCACCATTCCTGTAACTGGACCAGCTTTATCCCCTTCTGGATTGAGGATCCATGAGCTCTAGATGCACACTGCGTTTATGTGTCTTGCTTCTGGTGAGTGCGTTTTTCAGCCGTTTCCACACGGATCACCAATTTTGAATCCTCATTTGTCACTGGACACGTCCAATACCAAGACTTTTCAGTGGACTTATATCTTTCTTAATATCACTACTTTTAGCGCTGCACTAATTTTATGTTATTCCATTTTAAGTACATATTGGTTGCTTAGAGTGCTTAGCCGCTTTCAGGACTAGTGCTCACTGTTGTGTTCTTCTATTACATAGGATAACATGCTGGGGGGTTTACTGGCTGTAGAAAAAAAAACACCAAAAGCCAAAAATAGCAGCTGTAAAAATGTCCAGTGTGCAGGTGGACTTAAAAGGAAAAAATACAATTATTTAAAGAATTGTTTCTTTTACTTTTTGTTTTTAAAATCAAATAATATTTCTTCATAAATTTGTGCCAAAATTTATTTTGCTACATTTATTTGGTAAATAAATAAACAAATCCAAATTGTTTGATCTATAACAGCCTACTTTAGAGCCCTAAAAACTATGGTATGTAACTGTGCATATATATACAGGTGAAACTCGAAAAATTAGAATATCGTGCAAAAGTTCATTTATTTCAGTAATGCAACTTAAAAGGTGAAACTAATCTATGAGATAGACTCATTACATGCAAAGCAAGATAGTTCAAGCCGTGATTTGTCATAATTGTGATGATTATGGCTTACAGCTCATGAAAACCCCAAATCCACAATCTCAGAAAATTAGAATATTACATGCAATCAATAAAACAAGGATTGTACATAGAACAATATCAGACCTCTGAAAAGTATAAGCATCCATATGTATTCAGTACTTGGTTTGGGCCCCTTTTTGCAGCAATTACTGCCTCAATGCGTGTGACATGGAAGCTATAAGCCTCTGGCACTGCTGAGGTGTTATGGAAGACCATAACACCTCAAACTACTAACACTGACTTACAAAGCCATTCATAACACTGCTCCGAACGACCTCACCGACCTGATACCCAAATACCACCCGACCCGGACTCTTCGCTCCTCACAAGACCTCCTACTTACTAGCTCCCTGGTCTCCTGTCAAGTTCCTACCTTTCCTCAGGGCTTGTGCTGCTCCATGTGCTGGCATCCATCTTAGGTGTCTGCAAAGCATTGTGGGATCCTTTATGCTTTCAGCCCTCTGCGGCTCCTCCCCCTGGAGGTGGCGGCTTATCACATATAAGTCTGCTGTTTGTAGCTGTCCATTGCATTCGTATCCTGTCTGCTGCACAGCAGCAAGCTCCTGTTTAGTTTCTCATTGCTCTCCTGGATACCGACTCGGCTTTGGCAAGACTCCTTCCTGGCTTCTGACCCCGGCTCTGGCGATCATCCTTCCTGGCTTCTGGCTCTGGCGACCATCCTTCCTGGCTTCTGACCCCGGCTCTGGCGATCATCCTTCCTGGCTTCTGACCCCGGCTCTGGTGACCATCCTTCCTGGCTACTGTCCTACCAAGTCATCCGCTGTTGCTGTTGGACTTGCACAGACTCTGTCTTGTTTTTGTATAATAAACCTACCTTTAATTGCACCTCCTTGTGTGTCTGGCTCCTCGCTCCCTGACATCTCCTCCTCCCACGCCCGACTGCAGGACTTCTCCAGGACTTTCCCCATCCTCTGGAACTCACTACCCCATTCCATCAGACTGTCACCTACCCTTCTCACCTTTAGGCGCACCCTGAAACCCCATCTCTTCAGGGAAGTCTACCCCACCCTCACCTAACAGCCGATCTCCTCCACTCCTCCTATCACTCCATCCCCCACAGCCATTTCCTCCTGTGCCACTATCCCCTCCCTCCTAGATTGTAAGCTCGAAAGAGCAGGGCCCTCGAACCCGTCGTGTATTGTATTGTTACTGTATTGTCTCATGTACTGTACCCCACTACTCTGTACAGCGCTGAGCAAACTTTCTGGCGCTATATAAATACTGTATAATAATATAATTATTATTATTTTTATTATACAGTATTTATAAAGCACCAATAGTTCGCTCAGCGCTGTACATTACAAAGGGGGACAGAACATGTGACAGAACAATAACAATACAATGCAAAACATGAGGGGATTGGGGGCCCTGCTCTTTCGAGCTTACAATCTAGGAGGGAGGGCATGGTGGCACAGGAGTAGACAGCTGTGGGGGATGGAGTGGTAGGAAGAGTGGAGGAGGTCGGCAAGTTAGCAGAGGGTGGGGTAGGCTTCCCTGAAGAGATGGGTTTTCAGGGTGCAACTAAAGGAGAGGAGAGGAGAGTAGGTGATAATCTGATGGGTTGGGGCAGGGAGTTCCAGAGGATGGGTGACACCCTGGAGAAGTCCTGGAGGCGGGCATGGGAGGAGGAGACCAGGGAACTAGAGAGAAGGAGGTCTTGTGAGGAGCAGAGTGTGCGTGCTGGGTGGTACTTGGATATTAGGTCAGTGATGTAGTTCGGGGCAGTATGGTGGACAGCTTTGTACGTCAGTGTTAGGATTTTGAATTTGATCCGTTGCGCAATCGGAAGCCAGTGGAGGGATTGGCAGAGGGGGGGTGGCGGAAACGGAGCAGTTGAAAAGGTGAATGAGTCTGCCAGCCGTATTCAGGATCGACTGAAGCGGGGATATATATATATATATATATATATATATATAATAATATATATACACTATTTTGCCAAAAGTATCGGGACGCCTGCCTTTACAAGCACATGAACTTTAATGGCATCCCAGTCTTAGTCCATAGCGTTCAATACCGAGTTGGCCCACCCTTTGCAGCTATAACAGCTTCAACTCTTTCCACAAGGTTTAGGAGTGTGTCTATGGGAATGTTTGACCATTCTTTCAGAAGAGCATTTGTGAGGTCAGGCACTGATGTTGGACGAGAAGGCCTGGTTTGTAGTCTCCGCTCTAATTGATCCCAAAGGTGTTCTATCAGGTTGAGGTTAGGACACTGTGCAGGCCAGTCAAGTTTTTCCACCCCAAACCTGCTCATCCATGTCTTTATAGACCTTGCTTTGTGCACTGGTGCGCAGTCATGTTGGAACAGGAAGGGGCCATCCCCAAACTGTTCTTACAAAATTGGGAGCATGAAATTGTCCAAAATGTCTTTGTATGCTGACACCTTAAGAGTTCCCTTCACTTGATCTAAGGGGCCAAGCCAACCCCTGAAAACAACCCCACACTATAATCCCCCCTCCACCAAACTTTACACTTGGCACAATGCAGTTAGGCAAGTACCATTCTCCTGGCAACTGCCAAACCCAGACATGTCCATCGGATCTCCAGACAGAGAAGCGTAATTTGTCACTCCAGAGAACACGTCTTTACTGCTCTAGAGTATAATGGCGGTGTGCTTTACACCACTACATCTGAAGCTTTGCATTGTACTTGGTTATGTAAGGCTTGGATGCAGCTGCTCAGCCGTGGAAACCCATTCCATGAAGCTCTCTACACACTGTTGTTGTGCTAATCTGAAGGCCACATGAAGTTTGGCGATCTTTAGTTATTGACTCTACAGACAGTTGGCGACTTATGCGCACTGTGCTTCAGCATGCGCTGACCCCGCTCTGTCATTTTACGTGGCCTACCACTTCATGACTTAGTTGCTGTTGTTCCCAGTTGCTTCCACTTTGTTATAATACCACTAACAGTTGACCGTGGAATATTTAGTAGCAAGGAAATTTCCCTGATTGACTTATTGCACAGGTGGCAACCTATCACGGTACCACGCTTGAATTCACTGAGCTCCTGTGAAAGACCCATTCTTTCACAAATGTTTGTAGAAGCAGTCTGCATGCCTGGGTGCTTGCTTTTTTTACACCTGTGGCCATGGAGGAGATTGGAACACCTGAATCCAATGATTTGGAGGGGTGTGCCAATAATTTTGGCAATATAGTGTGTGTATATATATATATATATATATATATATATATATATATATATACACACACACACAGTTGTACTCAGAAGTTTGCATACTCTTGCAGAAATCGTGACATTTTGGCATTTATATTGAAAATATAACTGATCGTGCTGAACAATATTTAATTATAGTGGTCATAAGAAGCCATTTATTATCACATAGTCGTTTGGCTCCTTTTTAAATCACAATGATAACAGAAATCACCCAAATAGACTTTACATACCCTGCAATGTTTGGCCATGGTAAAGGCACACAAGGTGACACACACTGGTTAAAATGGCAATTAAAGGATAATTTCCCACATCTGTGACCCTTTCAATTTAAATTAGTGTCATGGGGAGCAGAAAAGAACTGTCAATTGACCTGCATAACAAGGTAATGGAACTTTATAAATATGGAAAAGGATATAAAAAGATATCCAAACCCTTGAATATGCCAGTCAGTACTGTTCAATCACTTATTAAGAAGTGGAAAGTTGGGGAAGTCTTGATACCAATCCAAGGTCAGGTGGACCAAGAAAGATTCCAGCCACAACTGACAAAAGAGATGTTTGGGTTATTTCTGTTTATCGTAATGATTTAACCACTTGCCCTCCAGAGGATTTACCCCCCTTCTTGACCAGGCCATTTTTTGCGTTATGCGCTGCATTACTTTAACTGACAATTGCGCGGTCATGCAATGCTGCACCCAAAATAAATTTCTTTCTTTTCACCCATGAATAGAGCTTTCTTTTGGTGGTATTTGATTGCCTGTACATTTTTTACTTTTTGCGCTATAAATAATGACTTTTTCCTATTAAACATGTCCATTAAAAACATTGTAAACATCAAATTTCATCATAAATTTAGGGCAAAATGTATTCTGCTACATGTGTTTGCTAAAAAAAACTCCCAATATATGTAAATTAATTGGTTTATGTGAAAGTTATAGCGTTTACTAATGGCGGTATATATAGTTTTTTTTTTTATTAGTAATGGCGGCGATCAGTGACATATATCGGGACTGCAGGACTGCGGTGGGCATTCTGACACTGGGGGGAACTGACTTGGTGTTACTGACATCCCCAGTGACACCAATACAGTGATCAGTGCTAATAAAAAGCACTGACACTGTACTAATGGCACTGGGCAGGAAAGGGTTAACATGTGGGGCGATCAAAGGGTTAACTGTGTGCTGGGTGTGTTTCACTATGTGGCTGTGTCTATGCTTTCCACTGTAAGCACACTGCTATGCAGAGCCATACAAAGCAGAGTGCTGGAGCTGATGGGAGAGAACTGTATTGTTTACATACAGTTCTCTCCCCTGTCTGTATTTCTCAGCAATCTCTGGGTACCGGCGAGTAATCACTGGCTGGGACCTGGTGACTGACAGCTGAGGCTGTGAATGGCAGCGTGGGTAGGGCGTGCATGCACCCCTACTCAAAAATGCAAAATCACATATATGTACGTGATTTTGCACACCCCTGCTGCCCTGTAGCAGTATTTCTGCTAAAAGGCAGCAGTAAAGCGGTTTAAAAAGGAGCCAAACAACTATGTGATTAATAAATGGCTTAATATGATCACTATCCTTAACCACTTACCCACTGGGCACTTTTACCCACTTCCTGCCCTGGCCAATTTTCAGCTTTCAGCACTGTCGCAGTTTGATGACAATTGTACAGTCATGTAACACTGTACCCAAACTAAATTTTTATCATTATTTTTAGACAAATAGAGCTTTCATTTGGTGGTATTTAATCACCACTGGGTGTTTTATTTTTTGCTAAACAAATGAAAAAAACAAACGTTTTCTTAGCTTCTATTATAAAATTTTGCAAACAGGTAATTTTTATCCTTCACTCATGTGTGCTGATGAGGCTGCACTGATAGAGTGCACTGATAGGCACTGATAGGATGCACTGATGGGCACTGGTGAGGCGGCACTCATGAAGCGGCACTGGTGGGCACTGATGAGGCTGCACTGATATGTGGAACTGATGGGCACTGATAGGTGGCAATGATGGGCACTGATAGGCAGCACTGATGGACACTAGGCAGCACTGAAGGGCACTTATAGGCAGCACTAAAGGGCACTGATAGGCACAACTAATAGGCGGCACTGATAGGTGGCACTGACTGAAAGCACTAATGGGCAATGTGACAGCGCAAGGAAAGTTCTGCTGATAACAGGCAAGTGTGTTTACATCGTGATCGGCTGTGATTGGACATGTGATAAAGGGATGCTTTTATTTGTGCTCAACTGTGACTAAACAATCACAGTGAGCACCATGTGCACACTGGAGCGGGCGTAAGGGGGGCACAGTTCTAGAAGGATGTCAATAGACGCCCTCCCAGAACTAGATGACTTCACTATAGCCATCATTTGGCTATAAAGCAGTCTGCAAGTAGGTAAATAAAAGACAATTTTTTTGATCAGTCATATTTTCAATATAAATGCCAAAATTTCATGATTTCCTCCAGGGTATGTAAACATTTGAGCACAAGTGTATATATGTATATAGTATATGAAATGTATGAATCCTGATGTCCTGATTGCCTATTTCATTACAGTATTAAAAAAGTGACTATTTTAAAGATGTACTTATTTGCCACTTTTTTTTTTAATGAGGAAACCGAAAGAAATGTGATTTTGTTTTCCACAAAATTGGCAATTTAGCAAATTATTTCTTACACACAACATGGGCATACTTACAATTACATTCCAAAACACATTATGCTGCACCTTCTGAGTATGGAGAGGCATAGAAAGGCCCATAGAGATGTATAGAGAGGCATGGGGAGTCTTTGAAGATTTTTTTGCCACAAGATTTGGAAAATGAAGAAAGTAAATGAAAATATATTTTTCCAATTGTCATTTTAATGAGATATTTCTTACACACAGCCTGACAATACTTGGAATTTCATGGTAAAATACACTCTTGTACTCCTCCTGAGTATGGAGATGTGTGAGACTTTTTCTCTGCCCAAACCCATAGATGGCCTCAAAATCCAAGGAGCACTTTCAGGCTTTCAAAGGGAATACATTAAATGATCAGTTCACCTTTTAACAAAAAATAAATAAATGCACATTTTTTTTGCAGGTAAAAAAAGGTGCATTTACTATTTTTTTTTTTGGGGGGGGGAGCCAGGAAAGCATTACACCAGCGATCAGCACATTACTGGTGCCATGCAGGACTCTTGCAGGCCTGTTAGTATATCTGTGTGCTCTTACCTCATATGGGCCATGGTAGTTCATTGAGAACTAAAAGCTGACAGCTGCAAAGGCTGTGGGGACTTGTAGTCTTCCCATTCACAGAATACGATGAATTGATGACACGGGCAGGCAGGCTAAGCCCCACAAGGGCACTTTTTTAAAAACTGTGATATCTAGCAGGGGTAGAAGATCCCTAGCTGTCACTAGCTGACTAGCTGTCACAATGGCGAATTGGGGGATGTGGCGGCTGGTTCTTTCCTAACATTTTACACCCTGAATATGGGTGTAACATGTAACATGTTACAAAAGGTGAACTTATCCTTTAAGCATTTTCTAACTATTTATCATATTTTCAAAGGCCCTGAAGTGCCAGGACATTAGAAAAACCCACAAAATTACCATATTTTGGAAAGAAGACACTTCTACTGGCACTGGCTGCAATCAGCAACACTGCAACACTGGAAACAATGGCACTGGCTGTGTGAGCAAACTAGAAACACTGGTGCTGTCTACAAACAGTGAGATGGAAACACTGGCACTGGCTTTAATCAGGCACTGACAGTAATCTGACACTGGCTCTAATCTGGCACTTACAGTAATCTGATGCTGGCTGTAATCAGGCACTGACAGTAATCAGGCACTAGCTGTAATAAGGCACTGACAGTAATCTGACGCTGGCTGTAATCTGACACTGGCTGTAATCAGGCACTGACAGTAATCAGGCACTAGCTGTAATCAAGCACTGACAGTAATATGACGTTGGCTATAATCAGGCACTGACAGTAATATGACGCTGGCAGTAATCAGGCATTAGCTGTAATCAGGCATTAGCTGTAATAAGGCACTGACAGTAATCTGACGCTGGCTGTAATCAGGCATTGACAGTAATCAGGCACTAGCTGTAATAAGGCACTGACAGTAATCTGACGCTGGCTGTAATCTGACACTGGCTGTAATCAGGCACTGACAGTAATCAGGCACTAGCTGTAATCAGGCACTGACAGTAATCAGGCACTAGCTGTAATCTGACGCTGGCTGTAATCTGACACTGGCTGTAATCATGCACTGACAGTAATCAGGCACTAGCTGTAATCAGGCACTGACAGTAATATGACGCTGGCTGTAATCAGGCACTGACAGTAATATGCGCTGGCTGTAATCAGGCACTGAGCAGTAATATGACGCTGGCTGTAATCAGGCACTAGCTGTAATCAGGCACTAGCTGTAATCAGGCACTGACAGTAATATGACGCTGGCTGTAATCAGGCACTGACAGTAATATGACGCTGGCTGTAATCAGGCACTAGCTGTAATCAGGCATTAGCTGTAATCAGGCACTGACAGTAATCTAACACTGGTTGTAATCAGGCACTGACATTAATATGAAGCTGGTTCTAATCAGGCACTGGCATTAATCTGAAGCTGGTTCTAATCAGGCACTAGCATGTAATCTGAATTGGTTCTAATCAGGCACTGACATTAATCTGAAGCTGGTTCTAATCAGGCACTGGCATTAATCTGAAGCTGGTTCTAATCAGGCACTGGCATTAATCTGAAGCTGGTTCTAATCAGGCACTGGCATTAATCTGGCACTAGCTGCAATCTGGAGCAGGTTGTAATAAGGCACTGGCTGTAATCTAGTGCAGGCTGTAAACTAATCTACAGAATCTTAAAATTGTCATCTATCAATTTGGATTTTAAAAATATCTTTAGACTCCATCACTTCCTGTACATCCTATCCCAGCATGCACTTCCTTGCTGTATCAAAGAAGAGGGCATGATAGGGCGTGTTCTCCTGTCTGGACCACATCTCTCTCATTACTATACCATCTATTGTTTTATTTCTACCCACTTAAAGTGGAGTTCCGCTCACATTGTAAAAAAAAAAGGGGCCAGCGTCAGTATCGGAGCCTTTTTTTTTCTTCGGAGCGGCGGCGAACATCGTGATTGATGTCGGATCCACTTCGGGGGACATTCATTTATTAAAGGACTTGTCAAAGAATGGCTCCTGTTTTTTTTCACACTATAGCTTTTTTTTTGTGAATGGGTAACGGTACCATATACCCCATACTCATTCACGTGGGGGGCGGGATCTGGGGGCCCTCTTGCTTAAGGGAGCTTCCAGATTCTGATAAGCCCCCTGCCCCAGACCCCCACAACCACAGCCCAGGGTTGTGGGGAAGAGGCACGCTATATGATCTTCTTTAGATTTACCAAAACTATATAATAGGAGGACACACCTATCTATCCAATTACTCTGTATCCAATCAGACAGGACCTTGCACTGCATAGTTGATGGTAGATCTAAAAGAGATTGTACAGTTGTGCCCTCTGATTCATCCTGTATTGAATTGTATTGTAACTGTACTGTCTGGCCTCATGCTGTAAAGTGCTGTAAAACTATTGGCACTATATAAATCCTGTATAATTATAATATAATAATAATAATAATAAATACAATCAGATTGTATAGTGTATAGTGAGCTTACATGACTTCCAGGACACACTTCTCCTGTTTTCAATACTACAGCGCTGCTCTGCACAGGCTGTGATTTCGCCGCTCCTGCACACCCTGCCAAATGAGTGATCTATGCAATCTGTGAAAGATAGAAACAAAAATTGATGGCTGTCTATTTAATGAGAACAGTGATCACTGATTACATTAGGAATGCATGCATCTAAGGAGGTGGGTGGGAGCCATCTCCTGGAGGAGGAGGGCAGGTGCAGGGTGTGTTAATGAGGTCAGCTGGTGAACTACTTCCTTCTACTGGTTCTCGGGTTTTGAATACCAAATTCAGGATGGCTAATGGAAGAGTTTTCAATAGGACACTGAGGTTGAAGTAAGACCTGGTTTAAGTGAAATAGAAAGCTTTTTTATTTCTGCAAAAGAAGTACATTAATGGTATATTGGTACATGAGGAAGCTGTAATTTACAAAAAAACGGTACTCTAGAGCAGCTTTCCATGTACCTTTACATGCAGAAAAATATTTTGATTTATTTGGTAATGCTTTAATTAACCCCAAGCATGCATGGGAAGCATGCATTTTAAGCACAGGTCAAATTAAGGCAAACCTGTACTGGTGGAAATACCAAAGCTGACATTTCTGACCTCTCTGGTGTAAGTAATGGCTCTCTCCTAAACATGCCAGTTCCCTTGTTGTAACGCTGACTTGCTCTTTCATCTTTGCATTCACTTTTCTTGATGCATACCTGTTAAGGATCAATGGCTTAGAATATTCTAAGGAAAGATATAGCTAGGCATCTAGCATTTTCTAGCAAAAGATATCAGAAATGCAAGCCTACATATTTGCCCATGGCAATTAAAATATCCTCACATGTAATGTATAGATTGATTGATTGAATTCTTCTGTAATCTCTTTTAATATAGCTGTCAGAAAATAATGATACAACAAGTGATGGTTTGTTTATTGTATCACAATAAATTAACATAATCTGTAAATTTAATAAAGCAATGTAGAGGAATCCAGTCCAGCTACACATTTTATTTTTTTTTGTAACTGTTTGTTACTGGAAATATAAAGGCCAGTGGTAGATTACATCTATTGATTGATATTGTATCATACTTACTGGCTGCAGTGTGCTTCTTGATCTTAAGAGGATAAGGTCATGCTTGTTCAGATATACATATCAAAGTTCATTTATGAAGATCCGTTATGAAGTGGCATAGTATGAAATGTTTTAGAAATAAAAGCGCTTGTATATGGCTAAACACCAGAAAATTACTCAACGGTAGAAAATCACATAAACTGAACTACAATAATAACAAATGTCAATCATAAAAGTAATAAATGTTCACACAGTTTTGGGCTTAATTGTTTTGAAATGAAAAGAAATGATTTCAAAATGTTCTTGAAAACAAGATACATTATATTGCCAAAAGTATTGGTCGGCCTGCCTTTACACGCACATGAACTTTAATGGCATCTCAGTCTTAGTCCATAGGGTTCAATATTGAGTTGGCCCACCCTTTTGCAGCTATAACAGCTTTAACTCTTCTGGGAAGGCTGTCCACAAGGTATAGGAGTGTGTCTAAGAGAATGTTTGACCATTCTTCAAGAAGCGCATTTGTGAGGTCAGGGAGTGATGTTGGACAAGAGGGCCTGGCTCACAGTCTCCATTCTAATTCATCCCAAAGGTGTTCTATTGAGTTGAAGTCAGGACTCTGTGCAGGCCAGTCAAGTTCCTCCACCCCAAACTCGCTCATCCATGTCTTTATGAACCTTGCTTTGTGCACTGGTGCGTAGTCATGTTGGAACAGGAATGGGCCATCCCCAAACTGTTCCCCCAAAGTTAGGAGCATGAAATTGTCCAAAATGTCTTGGTATGCTGACACCTTAAGAGTTCCCTTTACTGGAACTAAGAGGACAAGCTCTACCCCTGAACAACAGCCCTACACCATTATCCCCTTCCACCAAACATTACACTTGGCACCATGCAGTCAGGCAAGTACCTTTCTCTTGGCAACTGCCAAACCCAGACACATCCATCATATTGCCAGATAGAGAAGCATGATTTGTGGCTCCAGAGAACACGTCTCCACTGCTCTAGAGTCCAGTAGTGGCGTGCTTTACACCACTGCGTCCGTCGATTAGCATTGCACTTGGTGATGTAAGACTTTTGATGCAGCTGCTTGGCCATGGAAACCCATTCCATGAAGCTCTCTATGCACTGTTGTGCTAATCTGAAAGCCACACAAAGTTTGGAGGTCTTTAGCTATTGACTCTGCAGACAGTTAGAGACTTCTGCGCACTTCAGCATTCACTGATCCCGCTTTGTCATTGTATGTGGCCTACCACTTTGTGGCTGAGTTACTGTTGTTCCACAGTTGACCATGGAATATTTAGTAGCAAGGAAATTTCACGGATGGACTTATTGCACAGGTGGCAACCTATCACGGTACCACGTTTGAATTCACTAAGCTCCTGCATATCTAGGAGCTTGATTTTATACACCTGTGGCCATGGAGGTGATTGGAACACCTGAATCCAATGATTTGGAGTTGTGTCCCAATACTTTTAGCAATATACTGTATATGTTTCTCCAGAAAATGTTGCAGTTCCAGCTGTTTACAGTGGGATCAAGAGAAATGTATGCCTGTGGAATGATTTCTGCTCAAGCTTGTTTCAGAAAACAATTGATTGGCCAGGATGGATTTTTGCGACAGCCATTTTTTTCCCCAAGATAGACAGGGCTCGTCACTTCAAAAGCACAAACATGCAAACATTCAAAAACACACCCAATACAAACTTAAATATTTGTATGATAATCATTCATCTTAGGTCTGTAGCCACCTCGAGTGTAATGACTAGCAAGGAACTACTAGTTGAATATTGGGTAGGTGGTGACCTAACCCACATTTCTTTCAAGTACTGGTACTCCTGCTAGTAACACAGTTCATGTCCTAGGATGACAACGCTAACTTACTATACTGTATCTGAGACATGAAGTGTGTAAGGACTACAGAATACCCTCTCTTCGTATCTCCAGAACATGGTGGAGATATTTTCTGTAGTCCTCACAGATAACTGGTAAGACTGCTAACTGATAGAAGTGCAACAGAGGCAGAGACAAATGAGAAACACCTTCTTCTATGCAGTACTCCCTTGCAGCCTCACCTCCCTGCATTATGATCAGCTATTCCCAGCTGTCAATGTGACAGCCAGGGATTGTTACGTGTTGCATCTTAATACATTTTTTTCTCGTTTAACCCCTTATTAACCCCTGTCAGATCCTATTAACTCATCCTTCCCCTTCTCCTCAGAACTATCATATTTCTGCTTTTTTATCTCATTTTTACCATTAATATTTAAACATTTGTTTTCTTTTGTTCTGTTTTTTTTTTTAACAAAAGCACAAAACGAAGAAAAAAAACACCTTTTTATTCATTTATAACTACTATACTTTGCACCAGAAACATTATTTTAAACTGGACAAATTATAAAGTAAAATGTATAGATTTTATCTACATTAACTCCACTTATATTTAAAACTAACACGAGTCAACATAAAAAAACAAACGAACAAACATTTTTTTTTCATGTTTTTATTAATTTTGCCTATACATAAACAATAAAAAATAAAGTCTAACTTGTCTCCCTTCCAAAATACTGCATTGTATTACTTTTTTATCTTAAAGGGCAACTCCATTTTCGTGGGAAAAAAAGCAAATAAAAAAAAAATATATAGCATATACAATTGCGACACAAGTCATATCGTAATTGAATGTTATTAAAAATTACCTTTCCTTTTCATTCTGCAATGCTGTAATTTTCTGTAAAATTCAATGCAATATGGATACCTAGAGGTGTTGTGTGCACAGAATGTGTACGGAACAGCCCTCAGAAACATAATTTCCTGCCTGAGTGCTTGGTTTGCTGATTTTCCCAGAAGTTTGCACTCAGATACAAGTCAGATTTCAGGCATCCCCTGCAAAAAAATTAAATTTTTGGTGAGATACTCCTGAAGGGAAATCCCATCTAAAGGGATGCAGACCCTGCCACTTTCCTCATTAAAGGCCTGCAGGTGCAGCAACTGATTGATAATTAGGAACCACTCCCATTCCCAATAACCGCTACAGGGCAGTAGGGCTGCGCAAAATCATGTGTATATATATATATATATATTTAGCATTTTCCGGGTATGGGGCGCACGCGCCATTTGCGGCCTCGGCTGTCAATCACTGGGTCCCAGCTGATGATTCCCCGCCGGCACCCAGTGATCGCCGAGTATCACTGATGGGGGAGAGACCTGTATGTAAATAATACAGATCTCTCCCCCATCAGCTCCTGCACATTGCTTTGTATTGCTCTGCAGAGCAATACAAAGCAATGTGCTTACACAGTGAAACGCACACACAGTAAAACAGCACACAGTTAACCCTTTGATCACCCCAGATGTTAACCCCTTCCTGCCCAATGTCATTAGTACAGTATCAGTGCTTTTTATTAGCACCGGTCACTGTATTAGTGTCACTGGGGATGTCAATGACAGTCAGTATCCTCTCAGTCCCGCTATAAGTCGCTGATTACCGCCATTACTAGTATAAGAAAAAAAAAAATTCCAGTATATATACCGCGTTTTGTAGACGCTATATCTTTCAAGTAAACCAGTTCATTTACATGTATTGGGATTTTTTTTAGCAAAGACATGTAGCAGAATACATTTTGGCCTAAATTTATGACGAAATTACATTTTTAAAATTTTTTTACTGGATATGTTTAAAAGCAAAAAAGTCAAAAATATTGTTTTTTTTACAAAAGTGTTGGTCTTTTTTTTGTTTATAGCGCAAAAAATAAAAAGCACACAGGTGATCAAATACCACCAAAATAAAGCTCTATTTGTAGGAAAAAAAGGACATAAATTTCATTTGGGTTCAGTGTTGCATGACTGCGCAATTGTCAGTTAAAGTAACGCAGCACCGTTTCGCAAAAAATGGCCTGGTCAGTAGTTAATTTTGCACATGGACACAAACATCTATCTCTTTCTTCAGAATAACAAAAGGTAGGAATCTGCAACAAAGTGTGTTGAAATTCTTTCAATGGATGTAGATCACCCAGAGGGGAATGTATCCATTCTCCATAGATGAACCAAAAATTACTCCATATGGGGAATATTATGATTGGAGTAATTTTTGGTTCATCGATGGAGAATGGATACATAATTAAGTTCATAAGGATAGAGATTTTTATAAATTAATATTTTAAATTATAAGTATAGGGAATACCATCATAAATTGAGGTTATGATTGAGGATGATGTATCCATTGTGAGATCAGATGGTATATGTGGGCCATTCTGGATCATGTGTGGATATATTATGGTCAATATATGAAAATAATGTGCTTAAATAATAGTATTCGAAATTAATATTATAATATATAATTTATAATGAGATTTTTAAATAGTTTTATTACTTATTATGATCATGTATTAGTTATTGGGTGGGAGATTAATTCGTGAGAATATATAAAAATTAGGGATTTTATATAGTGCATTTGATTTAAGTTATTTTATTTACTCTATCAAATTGGTGTTCGATTTCTATATTGAGGCATTTAGTTGTGATATATATGATTATCTATTAGAGATCTAAAGGGTTATTTGCAGATAACTAGTATAAATTATACATGTGCCATTTTGGATCATGTGTGGATGTAATATGGTCTATATATGATAATAATGTGCATAGAAAATAATAGTATTCGAAATTAATATTATAATATATAATTTATAATGAGATTTTAGATGATATATATATTAATAGTTTTATTATGTATTATGATCATGTATTAGGTACTAGGTAGGATATTAATAAGCGTTCGTGAGAATATAAAAAATTAGGGAGTTTATATAGTGCATTTTATTTATTTTGTTTATTTTATCAAATTGATGTTCGATTTCCATATTGAGGTATTTAGTTGTGATATATATAATTATCTTTTAGAGATCGTAAAGGGTTATTTGCATATAATTAATATAAATTATTATAGTAATTTTTAATTAATGGTGGCTTTTTATTGATATGAAATTGATATTGTAGTGTATATTTGAGATCTAAAAGGGCCATTTGCATATAATTAGCATATATTATTACAGGAATTTTTAATTAATGATGGCTGATGGTTATGTAAATTGTTTTTATAGTATAGTTATTATGATGATCTTAAATCAATGCGGAGTAATATAGGATTAACATTTTTGGGGGTTGCTGTGTATGGAATTGTATAGAGGGTTATTTTTTGATAAGTGTTTGCTCAAATCCGGAATGATGTGGGCATTGCCCCTCCTCAAGATGGAGGTTTATATCGGCACTATTAGAATATGTTAGTTTGCCGGTATATAGTGTGCATGTGGGACTCCGTCGGAGGTGGGGCATTGCCCCTCTTAAAGATGGAGATTGCGGTATTAGCATCATTTGAGGAGGAGTATAAATAAAGCGTCCCAGTCTGACGATCGTACCCTTTATGATTACGTCCAATGACGAAACGTGTCAGAGGGAAGTGACGTCAGACGCAAACGAGGAATCGGAAGTGGAGCGGCGGCCATCTTGGAGAGGGGAATAGTGACTGTGACAAGCGATTCGGACTCTCCTGGATTGGTGACGGCAAAAAGGTTTTTTTCCATATATGTCATGCGATAAGAAAGATTTTAAGACTGTAAGCAGTACCATTAAAGTTTTTGAATCTGAGTGTGTGGTGGTATTACACTATTCTTTGTTTCATACATGGGTATCTGGATGGCGGATATGGTGGAGACCGGTCTGAAACACTAGTGTGGATGGATCCACATGGTACTATGAGGTTGAAGTGAAATGTGAGGATACTGGCAGAAAAAAACTCATCCCATCATACAGTCTTCTTGGGGATTGTTACTAAGGCAAAAAGTTATTTTAAATATTGGTAAGGGTATTTACTCCTTACTTTAGTAGAAGTGTACTCTGTGGCGTGTGTTTTTGAGCACAAAAAGAGTGATTCACTTGCACGGCTTTTCACTACACATAGTGTATTGGCACATGTGTTTGTTGTTTACACTTTTTTTTCACTTGGGTGAAATATCACTGGATGATTTTTTATGCAATTTGTATTTATTAAGGATAATGCACTATGTGGTTTTTATGTTTTTGTTTTTTTTGAGGGTAAATCAAGTTGCTGCAAGAGGCTGAGGATTTAATCACATTTTGGACACTTGGATTTATTTATTTTTAAAGGGATATTTGATTTTTACAAATTTCTGATATTTGATTATGGATTTTTGATTTATCTTGGGACTTTATTATACTCACAGATTGGAGGAAAGGTTTATTATTATTATTTCTATCACTGAGCATATTATTGTTTATAGCTACAAATACTGTGGTTGCTGACTTTTAATAGTAGGGGTGAACTCAGCTGGAAGTGGGAACGGGAACCTGTGAAAACCAGGTACCTTCTCCCTCTCCCCCTTCCCCCCCCAAAAGGTGCCAAATGTGGCAGCAGAGGGGGGGAGGAGGCAGAAAAGCAGAGCCTCGAATTTTGTATGGAACTCCGCTTTTGGTAATGATAAAGT